GAACAAGCATCGGTGGTTCGGCGGTAGAAAACGCTCGACTCCTCCTACGTGGGCAGCCCGGGTTCAAATCCCAATCGAAGAATGACGTTTTTTATTAATAATTTTAAACGTTTCACTTGCGTCGTGGTTTCGTAAAACCCACACCATTTTTATTATATGATAAAAGGGTGGCTGTTGAAGCAATAATAATTCAATGCATACAACTTATGAAGTCTGTATAAGTCAATGTCATTTTTCATTATGACCGTTTCCGGTCTTCTCTGCTTTCTGCTAAACTGTGTAGGGCAGTGTTTTTCTAACCTTTCCAATACTGCTACCCCTGTAACCTATTAGGAAAACAGATTTGACCCCGACCTTAAAATATTATCATCAGTTCAAGAAATTCCAATTTAGCCGCTACATCTTCGTCTCTAATAATGTCATCATCAGGAGTAATTCTCGCCCCGCTTCCCACACTCAGCACCCCGCGGGCTCGCTAGAAAGAAGGAGCGCATGTTCTATTTAGTAGTATTATTATATAGTATTTTCTTGTTATTTAGATTTTACCAAATAATTAGGTTCTTTGTTACCCCCGAAGTATGGCTGATTTACCCCCGGAGCGGTAATTACCCCCAGGTTCGGAACCCAGGGTGTAGGGTGTGTGCATACGTATATCACAATAAGTCTCGGTTGGTCTTTAGATTTTCTTTTATTCATGCCCATAACCAGTAGCAAACAACCATATAGCCCGCTTGATGGTGAGTCACCACCATAGTGTATAGACGCGTGCGTTACCGTTGGCTACCCTGACCCAAGGTTGCTTCCCCAGACGGGCGCTCCGATTGGAGCCGGAAATACTATACATTCCGTTGTGTTTCTATCAATGAGTAAGAATCCAGGGCTCTACGGTGTTAGGGTATCATCAGCAGCCTATTAATGTCCCCACTGCTGGGGCACAGGCCTTCCCTATGGATGGAATAGGGAGATTGGGCCATGACCCACCACGCGGGCCCAGTGCGGATTGGTGGGTGCTAACGACTGCAGATGCAGCCGGGAACAACGGCTTAACGTGCCTTCCGAAGCACGGAGAAGCTCTAGATAGTAATTTTTGGTCACCTATCCAATGACCGACCACTGCGAAAGTTGCTTAAGTTCAACGATCGCAGCTGAAGGCGCTAACCACTTGCGCCATCGAGCTCCTCAAGGTGTTAGGGTATGCAATTAGGTTATCCAATGCGCGAGTGATACTGGTAGGGTGATCGCAATTATCAGGCCATGACGACCACTTTTTTTTGAATAAATTTTGGAACCTTCTAAATAGTACCTCTATTTAGATTTCTAAAGCAAGTTTATCATAGTTATAAAACAATGTAATTGATTAGTTTAAAAGTAATTTTAATTAGTTTTTAAATTGCATTTAGAGAACCTTCTTACTTTTTAGGTGTACAAATCTATTTTATTTTTGTGAGCTCTCATAATTCATACTAATATAGAAATTATTGCATAAAAATTCCATCTTCAAGCACAGTCTGTTATTGTTATTTAACAAAAACTATTTTTTCAGTAAATGTTCACATGAAACGTTAATCAACTTTAAATATTGTTTCAAACCAATTTCGACAACATTCCCAATGTTTATAAAAGGTACCGTGAAGAAGTTTCTTTATCGTACAAACAAGAAAGGTCTTCACCATTTAGTTTCTGCTCCAGATTCCACAAAGTAAAACGAACAAGTGCTTTAATTAAGATAAATAAAAGCCTACTTTCTTAGAAGGTTTGTTTTGTTAACTCGTTTACCTTCCAAAGAGTGCCTTTTCGCGTAGCAACAGTTATAATTAATCTTGCATTAGTACCTTCCGCTTTTAAAAATAAAACGCCCTTATGTAGGTTATTCGATTGACGCAAGTCTTTTTTAGGCGCGTTTCCTATGATAGCGGTGTGTTCCCATATATTTTGTATGTTAGAAGTGTGTATGGTGAAACTAATAAAGTATGGCTCCACATCACTTTGCTTAGCACCATCATCATCATCATCATGATCATCATCACTTTGATTAGCATGGATAACTATAAAAAAATACTGAATTCTTATTATTCCAGATAAAATAATTTTAACGCTGTTTTTGACATAAATTATTAACATTCAATGTCCGTAGACTTAACTTATGTTCTTTTAATACACTCTGTGTGCTTCTTTTAACTGCTCTTCTCTGGATGAAAAGTCTTTGTCTAAAGAGTAGGAATGTTATGTGATCCTTTTGTCGAAACTTACTGACTTACAAAGTTACCTACTGTCATGGATCCACGTAGAGCATGATAAAACTTTTTATTGACTATATGCTCTTTTTAGTGATTCGGTTTTTAAATATTTTTTTTGATAGCTATCAAGAAGAAAAAGACTGTTTTTTTGTTTCCCATTGAATTAATTTTGGTTTTTGTGATCTTTAGTATAATTATTTTATCCCAAAGGACTATTTTATTTTATTAGTGTCTTGGGCAAAGCGTAAACCAGGCAATCATCCAAAAGAACCTGGAAGAAGCGAACAAATTCTTCATACCAACCATGAATAAATATTCTAAATAAAGTTCCGCTTAAGCTTATCGCTACCCGCTGCATCTAGCACTGCGCATCTTCTAATAGCCTATCATTATATCTTATGGTTTAGCAATCCAAAATGGAAACGTGATAGGTGAAGGGATAAGAACCCGAATTGTAAGTAGAACAAATGGCCGGTTGATTATAGGCATTGTGGTAAGGGCCGCGACTAACTGTACTACTTCTTTGTCAATGTCGGCTCAAGTGGCCTTTGTTTACAGAAGGTATGGCTCAATCGGGCGATTGCATCGGTTTATTTTGCTTGCAACAGGCCCTGTGGCTTTTTGTAGTTTCTTAACAGCTATAAGCGCAGGGATTTATTAAGCATTTTTATTTAAAGTGCGAGCGTTAATGTCTCATAGATATATTTTTTGACGACCTCCGTGGTCGAGTGGTTTGTACGCCGGGTTTCATGGTGTCGCCGAGTCGAGAGGTCCCTGGTTCAAATCTCGGTGGGGGCAGATGTTTGTGTGATGAATACGAGCATTTGTACTCTAGTCATGGATGTTTAATATGTATTTTCTATAAAAAGATACTTGTATAATAATATGTACAGTATATGTATTTTATCCATTACCCTAGTTTTCCATAACACAAGCCTTATAGTGCTTACTTTGGGGCTAGGCTAATTGGTGTGAGTGTTGGAGATATTTATTTATTTATTGATTTATTTATATATATTTAAATAATGCAGCATGAAGTTTTCATCTTGTACAAGAGATATTTAAAAGATTCGTCAATAAAAATGCTATTATTTGGAAAGCAGTTTTTAAGTAATTATATGTACATTTTTTTTAATATCACCTAACGACAAAATTAAACGTTGCTACAATTTAATTAAGTCAATGATAAGTATATTAAAAATCTTAAATTATTTGTGACCAAAGATCAAAAAATAACAAAGCATTTTGGCAGATAATAATTAAAAAATATATTTTTGAGTTTACTTAGCATACTGCATGCATTCACACTAAAGTAAAACATGAAATCACACTTAAATAAACACTATTTGAAGTGACAAAAATGAAAAACAAGAGAAAACTTTTAAGTTGAAACAACAAACTTAAACGGATGTAGAAAATAAAACACATCATGACAAGAGATTATCATTTCTAAAAGCGAACGAAGGGCTTACGGTAAGCCCATTAAAATGTATAACCGCTAACATCCGTACAATAAACAGTTTTAAACACTCTAATAATGACATCGACGCTTCCACTGTGTCAGATGTCAAGAAGGCATTACATACCGTAACTGATAATTACAAAGCAGCTACTAGCATAACTTGACCTCTTGTTAGTATTACAGCTATCGAAGTTGATACGATTGAAGAGATAGGTGGAGCTCCAGCAACAATTGATGATAATAAAATAAAGACGAGTTTTTTATCGGCTCTCTCGATCGTTTGTGCAATAGACGGCCAATTATTTGGGTGTGAAGCCCTCATACTCGATTAACATGCTAGTTTCTAAGATTAGGAACATAAAAGCGGCCTTATTAATTTCTTTGTCTGCATATTGATTGATGGGATGAAGAGGATTGAATTTTAATTCAAAAGATTACATACTTCAAAGGGGTATTTAATAATAAGAGCCGGGATGTGGATGTAGATGAATGAGAGATTGTTAATGAAAATGATGACTCGTTATATTTGATTTAGGGATAGCATTAAAAAGTTGAATAATAACAAAAATGTTTGATCACCTGCAGTGCTTTTTTAAGGATTATTATATTTATTTGTAGTTAATTTGTTATTATATCAATAAATATTTTCAAATTATAATAAGAACGCTACTTTGTCATAATGGAATGATATTAAAAAATGTTTGCGATAAAAGTATTGGATAACAGCAATTCTGGACTAACCCGGCTACAAGTGTTAGGAATTCACTGCTAGAGCTCGTTAAAAGTTAGCGTCCTCGTTGTCAAATGTATTGTTACTATTCCCGTTAGTTCACTATATTTTGTGAGAGAATACAACTTGTTAGTTTCATCATATAATTTGAAATGTTTCTTTTTTTCTTTCACGTCTATAATGGATTTAGTAGCTAAATATTTCAATTTATACGTTGGAATAAAATTTATTAAGTGGGAATTGGGAAAACAATACAATTTTGACTCAACACATTCAAATATTAATTAATTGGAACATCACAATCATAGCGATCTCTGCATGTTGTTTGTAAGGTTATATTTTCGACAAATTATTTAACGAAACCTTTAAGCTAAGGTAGTCAGAGTCAAATGTGTTAGGGGATTGGAGCTGAAGAACCCATATTTGTACCTTGAATTAGCCAACGCTTCAGTTGCTCTCCAGACAGCACCTCATGGTATCCATTGACCATCAGAAGGGCCATACGTTGTTACAAGTCCAATTTCTTTGTTACTTCTCCCATTCCAATAAAGTACGAGAGATAGCTACTTACAAGTCTGGTTCAACATCAGTGTAGTGGCCATCTGAATCCACCAGCCCCACCCTAATGGTGGGAAGAGTTTCATCCTCGTCGTCTTCAAGTTCTCCTCGCGCTTCTCTCGCCTCCCTTTCCGCTATTGCTCTAGCTGCTATCACCTGCGAAATAGATAATATTTATGAGTTAGGTTAAAAAAAAATCTTTGGAGAAAGAGGACTTAGATCGCGCTTGGTAAGTTTGTCCTGCGGTTTTGGAAGTAATAATTAAGTAAATATTTCTAACACCCACACCAATTAGCCTAGCCCCAAGGTAAGCATATAAGGCTTGTGCTATGGGATACTAGGGTAACGGATATAAATACACATGATGATATATACTTCGGTACACATGCTGGTGTTCGTCATATAAAAATTTGCACCTCAATCTCTAAGTAGGCGAGTTCTTGAAAACTGGTATACATACCACCCACACCACGGAGGCCGTAATTATTTTATGTTAAAAGGGAGACAAAACAAGCGTATGACCCGCCTGATGGTAAGCGACCACCATAGCTTACGATACTAAAAATATCACTTGCGCTGTTGCCTATTCTGACCCAATCCGCAAAGAAGTGCAGCTCTGGAACATTACTCACCGAGGCGCCGTTGCCTGTTCTGACCCAATCCTTAAACCCGTGCAGCTCTGGAACATTACTCACCGAGGCACCGTTGCCTATTCTGACCCAATCCCCTTCCCCGCGGAACCCTGGATCTTAACTTAGGTATTGACAGAACCACAACACCACCAAAACGTAGTGTTGCCGATCTCTTTTATAGATTTAGTTATTATGGTTTTTTGAAGTGTTTTTAAAGTATTGACATCTTTATGATTTTTGCTTTCACAATTGTTATTGTGTGTCATAGTCTTTGCTTGTCATCAGATATAATATTATTTTGTGTTTAACTATAAAATCGTGTTAATAAACCCATTGCGTCCTAAATCCTAGCCTTCATATTCCATTCCACTAGCTCTCCGCTTCATGTAGTGTTATTTTAATGTGATCTTCTGTAAGATAGAAGTTAATTCCTTATCCGGGCGCACCAATTTCAGCGAGAAAAAAAGATGTGCCCTATATCTCTTAATTGTAAGTAAAGCAACTTGCGCCATGGCTGGTCGTAGAATGACTGGTGATGAAGGAACTTTAAGCTTCACCCCAACTATATCTACATTCGTTCTTACCACGGTATGTGGTCGGTCCGTTCTTCCTATGCAAGTCTGTGCTCCAGCAGTAGAAAATCAATCGACTGCCGATCCAGATAATGGATAATGTTGCGTCACCTGTAATCTTCGTTGCGCCTGCGGTGTTATTTCGACGACGCGCGACCATCGCCGCGACTTGCGCTCATACTGCCACTTGTCGCTCAGCGCACACTGCTCATCATCTGAGTCGTTCTGTGGACAATGGAAACGAATACGTTAGAAAAAAAGAAGTAGAACTAGAAATAAGCAGGTGAGCAGCAGGTCAAGATGCGACTGTCTAACAAAGAAAGCTTATCACTAGATAACTAGCAGCTGGACTCTTCGGTATATCTCTGCAGTTATTTTTTAAGTAAACTAATCCAAAATTTCAAAATCAATGTTAAATGCACCAGCTCTCATAGTACCGTACTTGTTTACTCCTCCAAATTCAAAGATATTTTTACTTATCAAATAGTAGCTTTCTATTTATGACATGAAAGCTCTGCTACTTATTACTTGCTATTTCTAAGAACTAACATGCCCACAACATTACAGTTTTCTCACGAAACCTAAACAACGGACGGGATAGAAGAGTGAAAATATCTCGAGAGCAAAACAAAAGCCCAACAATATACCGAGCGCTGGTGCTTCGCACACAGAAAACTCAGCCATTTCCCACAATGGAACATTCCAGTCATTTACTGACTAGCAATATCTGCGGGAGCTTTGTTCGCTCCTGTGACGTCATAACTGTGACGCCACCCTTGGAGTTATCTTGGAATGAATATTATTGGAAATGCTGAACAGAAGATTGAGACACAAAAACTCCAAGCTGAATTTATGATTTATCATGGATTTATCTGATTCCACAATGGCAGCGAACGATCTCACATACACAATGGGGACCTTTGAGGTTATCATCAGATAAATTTGTGTTGAAACAGCGCTTAGTGAGATCCGAAATGATGTAGATCTATTGTTTAAATTAATTTATTGTCTATAATAATTGGTTTGTAAGGTTACCTTTGTGTTTGGTTTTATACAGGATTACAGGAAAAGTCGAATTAAATATTTAAGTACATTTTAATCGGACCATTGTTGTTTTTTTTTTGATACTGTTAACTTTTTGACATTAGGTTATAGTGTCAAAATCTATTAGCAATGTCCAAAATAATAATGTACTTAAATATCTAGGTCGACCTTTACTGTAACCCTGAATAATTAGAGTCGTCAAAATATTTTGTACACAAGCTGGTAGCTAAAAAAGTACATTTTTCTCTTACTCCAATATTAAGACATAAATGATTAAAGTTCTCGCCGTTGATTGATTTATTTTTATAATAAAAAAGAAGACTAATCAATCAAATCTTATCACGCAAGATCCCAGCAATGTTGTAGGAACAAAAGATCTTCCACACATTTGTGAAATCAATCAGTTGTGTGGTATCCAACCCTCCCGAGGTCGGATTAAAGGGTCGTAGCTTTATAGAATATCCCGAAAACCTGAGAATAGGTACAATTTGAAAATAACATGGTCTCTATAGCGACAATGACAGCTATATTCGTACAATAACTGAGTAAAATAAAACATTGTCTGTCCATTGTTTTTACTTGAGAATAGTTATTAAAATGATTTTCCCAATACAATTGTGGTTAGCATTCGACTTTTATTTACATTACATGTGAAACTTTATATCATATATCTAATAAGTTCATACTTGTGTTGCTATCAGCGAAAACTTTGACTGTCATTCAGCGCTTACAGCACATAATTTATTTACAAAGCAAGGCTAGCTGTAAGATTTGCAGTATTAGAGTACCATGTACTTTGTATTTAGGAGTGTTCAAAATTAGCGAAATTTTTGAATTTTAATGAAATCAAATCAAACATTTCTTTATTCATTAGAATATTCCTATTTAGGAAGCCATTAAAATCTAAATAACTCTTTTGAATCGGGCATTTTTTTTCCCTACCACCTTTTCTGGATTTTTTTAGCTGTGAAGAAAAACAGGCAAAAGACACTTCACAGCTTCAAACCAAATTAGTAACAATATTAACAAAATATAATATTGTTAGTGTCAATACAGAATTGTGTCTTCTTTATCACCATAGTAATGAAAATAGCATAAAGATTGAAACATTTAGATTAGTTAAAACTCAAGTATTTTTAGCTGAAATTTAATAAGACACCTTATAAAAGGCCTCATCATAAGTAAATTTATTTATGCTCATTGTTAGACATTAGTAGGAACTTTCTTTCGGGTATCTGTAAGAGAACTTTGAAACGGAAACTCTTTAAGTTCGACTGTCTTGAATGTTTAATGTTTAACTGCGCTTCGTACTTCAGAAAATACAATAAAATTAAAGATACAGAACTCAGTATTATTTAGGTAATAAGAAAGTTTTTTGTCTTGTTCTTAAATAGGGCCGTTTTCACAACTTCATGTTCAAACATCATAATTGCTATGAGTGTATGAGTGAGCTACCTGAGGTTGAAATAAAAACATGGAATGTGGCAGAAGTTAACTTTTCTATGCAGATAGGGGTTTATATAAGAAGCGTGAAGAAGAAAGTTTCAACAGAGCGCATGTGAAAATTATGTTCTTATGAAATCGCATTCAAATATAACGAAAGCAGCAAAAGTGTGATATGAGATAATCACAAGATGTGATTTTATATTTGTATAAAAAGTTCGTGCGAACTATATAATTGATGAAGTATTTGTGTTCGATTCGGATGACATTTGATACCCTTGTGTACCATAAGTCAAAAATAAAAGAAATCACATACATCATAATCATTTTAAAGCAATAGAAGGCGTCGATTACAACGCAGAAGTAGGCGTTGTTTGAAACGAATGATTTCATGCTATAATTAATTAAGTTAATGTAAAATCATTATTGGGTATTATCAGTTAACCATATTTGTGCTACCGGCTAGTCAGCGCGTAAATCTAATTTGGGCTGATTTGATTTATCGTCAGATTATCGGCGACAGGCGTTAATAATAGGATGGACTTGCGGCCATAACTCACAATATCACGCCGATCACGATGCGCATTTGTAGTTACTGGATACAAAAGTTTCTGTTACAATAGACTTCAATTTATTATAGTTTTTCAGATAACTGACTGAGATGTGTAAGAGATTCCTTGTGTGATTTTAACTATATTTTTATTTATGTATGTTATTTTATTAAACTTACAAAATTAAGCAATAACATTTTACCCCCTTATTCATAAACGAGGAATAAGCTTTAGGTACGTCGTGTTTTGTTCAAATCATGGGGGCTTAGGTTAAAAAAAGTTTTAAAAAAGAGCAACGAGTTAATCTGTAATAGAAGTGTTATAGAGCTAAAAGTTATGTAAAAGTAAATTAAAAAATATATATAGAGCTAAGTTTTAAAAATCGCAGGTAAAATAGTTATCTTTCAATCGAGATTTCTTCGACAGAACTGATAGAAACTACGGCTATAACTGATAAAGAATGGAGCACGCCTTGGGAAATCTCACGCTCCGAGTTGTGTTTGGGTTACGAAGAAATTCCCGTACTTTTCACGTTTCGCTGACATCTGACGATGTGCTCTCTCTATCTTTATGTTAAAAGAGTGGCGAACAAGCATATGGCCCGCTTGATGGTAAGCGGCCACCATAGCCTTTAGACGCATGCGACACCAAAACTATAACTCGCGCTGTTGCCTACCCTGACCTAATCATCTACCCCCCGGAACCCTGGAACCTTACTCACCGACTAAAATACAATTCTAACAATGGTACTGTTTTTTTTAATTTTACTGTGGTTTTCTGTAAGATTACTTCCCCAGACAGGTGCTCTAGTACGAGCAGAAAATCCGCTATGCACTACCTCTCTTGATAATAATGGAAAACTACTAAATATTATCTTAAATTATCGTCAATAGCAAACCAGTGAACCAAATGTTCACCAAAACCTGATTTCTCGAAAACCGGAAGTGCTACGTTACTCAAATCCGGTTTGTAGTCTTATCAGAGTATTCTTAACTTATAACTTAAATATTCTCTTTATCTATCTCTTACGGTTTGGCCGCTGAAATAGCACCACAGACAGACGGACGGACTTGTCTAATAGATAAGAGATGAGCCCAACAAATAACTTCAGTAGCGCTTAGGCTAGAGGAACGATGGCTTCGAGAAATAACTTCTATCTTACAGAAGATCGCAGTAAAAATTACTTGACGGGGTGCTGCGGATTGGGTTTAGCTCTCTCTGACAAATTTGTTACGTTACACAATACACGTATTAAACTAGCAAGTGATATACGCAAAAACTATTATACAGCTATAAATTCAAGAATCTAGGCTATTACCTGAGGTGTTAGGCCGCACGTCGCGTCATCTCTTTCTTTAAGTTTTTGTGTTAAAGAGATGCCGGTAACATCAATCACGATTTGACAGCAAAATTGAGGCGTAATAACCAACTCGTTTAAGTATCACATTATTTATCAATTTGTTATGATGACTGTGTGTTTTTTATGAAAAATGATTGGAATTGAGCACTAAATTTAATGAAGTGTGAAATTCTACTTCTTGTTGTTTTATTATTTGTCAAATTAATTGTTACAATTTCTAACGGCATGTTAATATGTAATGAAAATCTGATATCTACCATTCGGACAAAGATTTTTTTCCATAATATAAATATAATAGGTTAATTAGCGAGATTTGTTATAATATTTTGGCTATTTTAGTAAAGCAAATTAATATTGGGTAACATTTAAGCCCCAAAGGTTAATAATAATACCTTAAGGATTTGGAAACTTTATTAATAGAAGTTATTTGAAAGAAATTATACTTGACATTTACTGAAAAACCTAATACCTGAAAAGCATAGAGACGACAAACAAGAACAAATAATTCACAGAAAAGGAAATTCTAGCCCCAATAAATAATCAAATGTCGCTGAAATCAATATATCAAACGACACGAACACAAAATGAATAATCATAAATTTCCCTTGGGCATTTCAGAATTTATGACAGAATGTTGGTAATTCGAAATTATTCTAACTCTAAACTTGAAATATTCCAGTTTTGTTGAAATTTCAACAAGCGATACTCGTTACTCATACAATCAGGTCCAAGGCAGTAATTATAGCATATTCAAAAATTTGGCATTTTGTACTTGGAAATAAGTTTGTAGATGAAATTTGACAAATTCTTCAGAAATCCTCCAAAAA